AAAGTACGGGATGCCCTGGAACATCCTGTAACAAAAAGCAAAAAAGTGCTCAAAAAATGATGGACACAGGACTCAATTTAAAGGGGCTCCCACAGGCCAAATATGAGACAATTTAAGGATCAGAATAAACAATGATCATAATAAAATATTTTAGAATAAATAATCTGAGTCCATACTGATATAAATAAGTACATACATAAATGAATAGGTAAATAAATAGGAGAGAAAGAAAAGCTCTTCCTTGTAGCAGAATAACAACTAATAAATGTAGAAGGACTCATACGGTTAGAAAACCACCATTTTACAAGTATAATAATAATAATTCTAAAATTATTTTGAAATTTTGGATGAAAAAATTCAGTCAAGAGCCATCAATGAATGGGTGAAAGTTTGAGGAGAAACAGGATTTTTTCACAATCTCAAAGTACCTCCCCACAAATTACTTAGTAATGAATGACAAAGGGAAAAATAGTGACTTTACAATATATTAATCCAGCAAACACAACCTCAACCAAAGAATCCAACTTAGTGTTAGCAATAATGCGACAGCTCAATATCACATGCTTCCTGATATGATGCCCTGAGAATATCACCTCCATAGTATCCCTGTCAAAATGCACAATCTCTCTCCAATCATGAGAAAACATCAGACAAATTTAAATTGAGGGATGCTGTACTCTTTTTTTTTTTACTCTTCAAAAATGTCAAGATCATGAAAGACAAAAAATGAGAATTAAAAGAGACTAAAGAAGTATGACAACTAATTACAAGATGTAATTCTGGACTAGATCCTAGATAGGAAAAAAATACCTAGTAAGAATATTGGCAAAATTTGAATATGAACTGCAGATTAGATAATATTACTGTATCAATGTTACATTTCCTGACTTTGATAAATGTACTATAATTATGTAAGAAAAAAATTCTTGTTCTTAGGAAATACATACTAAAATATTTATGGTTAAAAGGCATGATATCTTCAAATTATTTTCAAACGATTCAGAAAATACACATCGAAAGAAAGTCAATGATGAAGAAAACGAGATAAAATATTAACAATTAGTAAATCTGGGAAAAAGCATAAACCTTCTCCATACTTTTCTTGCAACTTTTCTGGAAGTGTGAAATTATATCAAAATAAAAGAATAAAAAATAGTCCTCCATCAAGGTAATAAAATGGAACCATTAAAAATGATGGCAAAGGTATTTATTTATTGGCAAACAAATATGTCAATATGTTCAGTGAGCATGTTAAGACTCATTTCCCCCCGATTTTGTTATATACATGTATCTATAGATGCACAGAAAAAAATCCGTGAAGGATATTCACCATGGTATTAATATCTGTTATCTCTGTGTGGTGAGATCATGGATGACGTTATTTGTTTGTTTGTTTCTGTGTATTTTCTAATTTTTCTACAATGAAAGTGAATTGAAAGAAAGGTTTTCTTTCTGGGGAAGTGAGAATGTCTTCTAAGAAGAAGAAATATGGCAGACCGTTCTCAGCCAGTCCAAGTCCTGTTTTGCTCACAGGCAGAATAAATGATCATATGATCTTCAAATTTGCCTTCTTGCTCAGTGTTCCGTACATAATTTACGTTTCTCTCGAGACAACTGTACCTTACTGCTGATTGGCTTATCTTTCTTCCCATTTATATCCCCTGCATTTACAAAAGAGACCAGCAAATACAAGCTTGGAGTTGTCTGTTATGATTATTTCATTTGTGCCAAGCAGCTCTACTACCTGCCCTCTTCACTTTGGTCACAAACTCCACTTCCAAGAAGCCCTCTCCTCGATCTTCCACCTCTCTCCACAACCCCAGGGTGTCAACAGATACTCAAAACGACAGGATGAACATGCTTTATCTTCCTGGAGCATCAATTGTCCTCAGAAATAGGAAGGAAAAGATGTTATTATCAGAGTAAAACTTGCCATTATATTATGCAGTCAAATTGAAAATTCCCATAAATTTTGAAAACAAAGTGGGCAACTACTAATAAGTGAAAGCTCATAGGGCTTAAAGCAGACCTTTCCACTCTAGGCCTTGGAATTTCAGAGACACAAATTCCTTTCTTACCTACCTTTAAGGATTCTCCAATGGAAACGTTTGAGAAGCAGAGATCTAAAGCATTCAACCCTGTATGTGCTCCTCTATTAGCCATTAATTCTTCCCCATTTTATGAAACGAGCCCTCACTCTCAGGAGTGAGTGTCTGCTCAGAAAGATGCCCTTCACACAGCCATTTTCTGCTCAGAACAGTACATCCTATACAGTACAATTTACAAGCCATAGGATTCTTTTAAACATTGGCATTTAAAACATGCATAACTCAAAACACAAAAGTTAAAAAAGAAGAAAATGATTAGGGGACACAATTTAAAGGCCAATCAATTGCTTGACAATAGGACCTCTGAACAAAGTGAGCCCAGGAAGCAGCCAATTAAACTCCACGGTCACTGCCAGAGACTTGGTTTTTTTCAAGATCAATTCAACATGTATAAAGCCTTAAATTGTATACATTAAAAAGAATGCAACCCAATAGAATAAAGATACATGAAGGAAAAATCTTGGCAAAATAGTCTAGGATTAGACTTACTGTTATTTACAGAAACAAAAAGAGTCCAGTCCCTAAAGTCAGTTTTAATACATATACAAAAACACGTTTCCCTTTAGGCCATTCAAATCGCCTGTGATGAGAACAGTCTCAAGTATAAAAATTAATCTAAAAGGACGGGCGGTTGACTCTTACAAACAGATGGTTTTGAAAGAAAGGAGTGGTAACTGGTGATACCAATTTTCCTCTGAGGCAACTTTTACTTGCTTGATTATTACGCAAATATTTTGTTATGTCCCTAACCTTTAAGTTATTCCTTAAACGAAATACAGACTTGTCTTCTCAATAGCTAGAACACTGGCATCTATTCCTAGGTGGGAGATCATTGGAATGGAGCATGCATATTTAACAACCAGTATGGCAATGTTTTTTAATTATCACTTCAAAGGGTTGCTTTCAAATATAAACCATTTTCCCTTCCTATTCTCATGACAGTTGGATTACCTATTTTTGGGGGGGCTCTCCACTATGTCTGATTTGGTTAAAATCAATCCAAGGGACCAAAATCACCTGATTTGAAAGCAGCAGTGAGGCAGCAATCATATAAAATCCTACCTTGCCAATAGCAAGCACTCAGGAAAGGCGTAGCAAATTAATTTACTGACTTGACGAGCGCCATGTTTTTGAGAGGGGCGGAGTGGGGACATTGCATTACAAGGAAGCGGCTTCCTCTAACTCCATAGGAGCTGCATTGTTGGATGTCCTTGGCTAAACAGCATTAAGACTACAAGACTTGAATGAACAAGCCAATGAATTCTGTTGCCAGGTTCTCAGAGTCAATGTGAAATAACCTTTTGGAGCAGCCCCTGGAATCAATCAGGAAATATAACAAATTTTTATTTAGCACAGTGCATTGTACAGAGGAGCCACTCAGTGGATGTGTGATGACTCTCATGGTGACAGTAAACAACACTCCTTTGATCACCTACAATAGAGATGCAGGGCTACTCCATTCAATTCATTCAACAAACAGTTGTGAAGTGTTCTAGGCACTAAGGATAAAGTAGTGAGCAAACAGGAAGGAAATTCCTACTTTCCTGGAGCTTATCTAGTTAGAGTGGAGAAAAGCTAGACAATAGATAAGTAAAATATAGAGTATATTAGTGGTAAATGCTTAGGAGAAAAATAAGGCAGGAAGGGGGTATGAAATGTTGGAGGGAAATTAGAAATGTAGATAGAGTAACCAGGGAGGAACATAGACAGAAGAAATAGGAAGAAAATAGAGCATATGGACAGAGAATTTTCTAATTTTCTTTTAAAGTTTTTCATTTTCTTTCTTTTATTTGTGTATGTGTGAGGAAGATTGGCCCTGAGCAAACATCTGTTGCCAATCTTCTTCTTTTTGCTTGAGGAAGATTGTTGCTGAGCTCACATCTGTGCCAATCTTCCTCTATTTTATGTGGGACGCTGCCAGAGCGTGGCTTGACCGAGCAGTGCTAGGTCCTAGGTCCACGGGATCTGAACCTGTGAACCTCAGGCCACTGAAGGGAATGCATGACCTTAACCACTGTGCCACTGGGCTGGCCCCTCATTTTCCTTTTAAATGGAAGTTAGTGAGCACTGTATCTTGTTCTAAATTTATATTCTAAATTTTTATTAAAATATATTCTAAATATATGTCTCAAAATAAAACTCATTATTATTACTTTTAAAATACACTAATAGACATTCACAAAAATTTTAACAATTCTTTATGATTGAGTTTCATGATGATAACAATTGGCATTTGTGTAGCACTTTATAATTGAGATAACAATAAGATCCACTTCCACAAACTGTACAGAAACATTTCAACTTTATAGTCACAATACACATGCACACACACACACACACACCACTATACCTTAACTAGTTTGTAATCTGTTCAGGAACAGAGACTGTCTTCTATTTATTTTTCTATTTCTTTTATATCCCTCTAAATTATCCTATACTCCTTCGAATCCTGCACACCATAGGCACACAGGTAAATGCTTAATGACCATTGACTAACCAATCTCGAACAATGCAGCACTAAGAATTAATTATCAGGTATTTTGTTCCTCTGTTTATTTGACTTCTTTGACTCCATCGAAAACAAAATTTAAAAATTGCAAGAGGATAAACCTTTATAAGTGAAAGTGACATATATATTAAAGTTGATTTATTAGATCGATGTATTATTTTTCATGAGAACATTTATATCCTGCTGCTATTTTTTCTTGGGCTCAATTTCTGTAAGGCATTTCATCACAAAGGCCTAATTTAACATGAATTTTTACAAAGACACATAATAAATTGAATTTTTAGAAAGCATTCATTGTTAACAGTATGATCTGTTACCCAGGTACAGGTTATTCTTTTGAATAAAATACAGGTAATTGGCTACAAATAATGGATACTGATTACCTTCTGGAGTGGAAGAAGTCTCTAGGTTTTGAAGCTTAAGGCCAGTGTCTAATCTTTGAGGCTTTGTATACAGAAATAAATAGCAAAGGACACAGACGCTGATGACAAAGGCCAGTAAAACAAGGGCAGCAATTCCCAATCCGATCAGGGCACCAATGCTGAGGAAAACAGAAGAAACAGTGATTGTTTGCACATAAACCAAAGAGAAGGTTTAAACATTGTTAATTCTTGCTTCAGTCATTCATAACTAAATTACATTTCAGTATCTACAGTATATGATTGAAACGTACAGCTCATCTTTTTCTACCTAACATCAAATTCTTATCATATTTTCTCTATACATTTATATGTTAATATTCGTATAAAATACCATGTGATTTCATATCACAGGTCAAAGGTCACAGGATCCCTTAGGGATAGTTCAAGAACATCGCAATCACATAAGCCTCTATTATTAACATATTTTAGGAGGAAAGGTCACGTTCACCAATAGAAGATGAGCAGAAAAATATTTACCTCTGCAAAAGTAGTGAAACAAACGTTTAACAGAATGTAGAATTTTCCTTTGGAGACATGTATTGGAGACATCGTTTACTAACATACAAAACCACAACTATTACAACAGAGGAGAAGAAGGTTTAATTAAAGGAAGGCAATGTTTATGAAATTTATATAAAGTTCATGTTCAGTCTGAGTTTTTCCTTTCTAAAAGAGCATAACACCAATGGCTGCTAGCATTAAGGAAGAAACCCTTGTACTTTTCTCTAAAGATAAAGTGAATATCTGATATTTGCTCTGCACTAAATTTGTAATAATTTCGTCTGATACAGTTACCTGTAAGGCTAATCAGCTGAGGTTTGAAAACATAGTTTTCATAAACCTCTGAACTTAATAGTTTTAAAGGGAATGGAAGATTAGAAAAAAATTATCTTGAAAGACTAACATACAAACAAACATATGTACTTTACTTTCATGAACCATATGTATGTGTGGGTGTGTAAATATATAGAGATTTTAAGCTGATTGAGAGCAGATACTTCCGTTGACTTTCCCTTAGTGCTGTGCACACTTATTACAGTGCTTAATAGAGTACTTAGCTTGTAGTAAATGCTCCATAAATAGAAGCAAATCATAATTGACTGGTTATTGATCCACTTGCAGTAATTAAAAAGTAATCATCATTCAAAAGTAATGATCATTGAAGTGATCATTGAAAAGTAATGATCTTTTTCTTCATTATCTTCTTGGCTTGCCTCTAGGCTTCTGTTATTTCCCAGAGACAAGGGCCCTGACAAGTTTGACATGTACCAAAAGGGAGCCAAGGGAGAAACTGACTAAGGATGCTAGGTGTGTCACTGCCTTGGGAGGAAGGAGAAGAGAATTAAAAGTGAGGGGCTAAGCACGTCCCACTTATCCTTGACTTGAGGAGATAAAGTGCTCCTTCATTTTAGAGACTGCCTCCTGAGCCACAGACATGGAGCCAGACTTCCAGAGATTGTTGTGCTTGGTTTATTAATGTCAGCCCAGATCCCCCAGCCGTCTGCATGAGTGAGGACTGGGTAATGTTGTGGCTCGAGTCTGTATTTAGTTAGATATTTAGATTAGAGTTTGCCTTCACGTGGTGCACTCTCTTCCAAGGGTTCTGGCAACTCCTCTTTCATGCTTGTTTGCACTAAAGCTGACTTTCGTAGATCATACGTGTCAGGGAGGGTTAGGACTAAAGGAAGACACATGGGAACATAATCCACTTAATATTATGTGCTGCACAAGGCAGCTAGAAGGCCAGACATCTGGAAAAATTCCTGAAACAAAAACCAAGTTATTAAAAAAATCTTCGAAGTGAAAAAGTAATTTAGTCAATTTAAAAGTAAAATTGTCAACTAAATTCAACATACATATTATGGGCTTTTAATGTATACAATTTAAAAACCAGGTCACATGGTTTGAAGGAAAAACAAAGCATGCCATTTCTGCTTTCTGTTAAAATTTCTTCATAATCTTGGCAAACTGTTTCAATGACACAGTTCCACTTTACTGAAACGCTTTATGCATACAAAACTCTAGATAAAGATGGAGCTCTAGGAATCTCCTAAAATATTCATTTCAACAAATACTTATTGAACTCATGCATAACCCTGTGCAACAAGCATTATTTTCCTAGGTCCTGAAGAAGGTTAACGAAGGAAACCCTAAGAGGTTAGGGATTTGTAAGAGAAGAAAAGAAGAGAGTGATCCAGACACAGAAGAGGAAGAATCAAGTTCCTCAGGGCACCGTATGGCAGTATGCTTTTCAGTCCCTGAGAGAGGGTCTGAAGCTGCCGTCACGTTAATGCAGCAATTCTTCCACTCGGCAACTTCACTTACCTGGTAGTAGCTATGCTTGTGTCTTTCTCCAGCAGCTGCAGGATCTCAGAACAAATCCAGTGACTTCTGGAATATTTTTGCAATTGGACTATTTTAAATTAGGGGTGGAGAGCAAAGAACACGAGCGAAATGAAGCTCTAAATGTTACCTCCTCATTGTGTTCTCAGAGCTCAACAGCTAACAAGAAGCCCAGGTCTAACACTGCCAGCTGAGGCTATCAGTTGAAATGATTTCTACGTTTCCAGGAACTAAGCTGCACTGTCCATTTCGTCAGTGCTGAATGAAGACCCCAGCAAGCTGTTCATTCCTTTGTGCCCTCATAAACCTTAGGAAAGTTTTGTATCCTCTGCTGCTTGTCATTTCAGAACCGTTTAGGGATCCGAGAATCCCAGGCACTTTTCCAATCGAGTCTGACTTAAGAGTTTCCAGTCTCTGTTGGAGGCACTGCCACCATTATTAACACCTCCAAAGACTCGGAGCTGGGTTATTATATTATTTTCCAAAAGGCCAGATAAGACACCAGTGCAGTACAGATTGCTTCCCTGAATAATAAGGATAAGCTGTCATAATTTTCTGAGGTTATGGCCCACTTTGGCACAACACAACTTTGCTGGTTTAATTTTAAAAGGGCACTCCTTTTGAGATTTTTTTTTGAAGCTTGCAATACATTAAAAAATATTTTACTGATTCAAGAAGCAATATTTAAAGTCATTTGCTGTAGACTTGGCATGTGTGCCAAATTCTGGATCATGCTAGGAAATTGGGATAAATAATACTCTTCCTCTTACCAGCAGAGTCTCTCTATTTCTCCCTCTCTCTCTTATCCAGACATACGATAATTAGTTTGTAAGAAACAAATTAAGGTGGGGTGGGAGGTTTTGTAATTGTGGTACCCCATTCATTCTCCAGGCAAAAGGAAAGAATCATGTTCAAAATTTGCAATCCTTCGGAGTAGAAAGGGAGGAAAAAGCACTTCATAAAGAAACTATCTACATAAATAACTAGTTGGAATAAGTAAAATTCCCATCATAGGAAAAAGAGTCAAGAAAGACTCCACCTTAGAAGGTCTCTTCACTTCCCAGTAATGGTCAAATGGTTCAGGTGTGGAGAAAGAGGGTGTCCTAGAAAGGTTCTACGGTGTGTAATCATAGCATCTAAAACTCTATCTGTCTATGGGTCTCCAATTCGGTTCGAGGTCAGTGTCAGATCACCTGAAAAAGGCAAATTATAAAGCGCAATCGCGCGCGCACACACACACGTACAAACACACACACCCACACGCACACCCTTTTTTGATATTTTAAAGATACAGCCACTTCCTTCTCACGCCCAATGAGATTTAAAATAATCTAATCCTTGGTTATGCCTTAAAATGAGTCCCAAAGGAGCCCCTTTCTATTCAAATACACCAAATTCCCAAACGAATCAAAAAGACAATTAAAACCTCCTCCTTAACTTATCTGTGTGTCTTCTCTTTCTGCTAGCAGAGCTACCTGCCTGGGACTGGGCCCTGGCGAGAGCAAAGAGCAGTCTGTTCCCGCGGGGCGGGCGGGGAACTGAGCCGGGCCAGCCTGGGTGCGCCCTAGGCGCAGAACCTGCGCTCCTCCCGCGCGCGCCTCGCCTTGGGTCCCCGGGCGGATTCACGCCTCTGGCGACCACAGCTCAACCCTCGCCGGACGGGGTCGGCACCACGCGAGTCCTGGCTCCCTGAGGAGCTCCGAGCCTGGGGAGGTTTCTCCGCAGGGCCTTCACCCGCCCTCGGAGGCTCCGTGTCCTTCGGGAGAGACCCGACCTGAGCGGCTCGCGGGAACTCCGGCGACCTCCCTCCTCCCGGCGTGACACTGCTCGTCGCTTCCCTAGACCCCGGCTCGCCAGCCCCCTGCCCTGCCCACCTGAGGCTCCACATGTAGCTGTGCTTGTAGGGGAAGTAGCTGCCCGGCTCGCTGCAGCAGTATTTAAGGTCGGCGAAGCCGCAGCAGTAGAGGAGGGCGGCCCCCTCGCCGCGCCGGGGGCACTGGAAGGGCTCCACGAAGCTGTGGTTGAGGCTGTAGTAGCCGGAGCACACCCGGCTCGCCTCGCTCATCGCGGGCCGCTGCGGGCAGGGGCGCGCGAGCCCTGGATCTGCCCTCGGACCTCACAGGTCCCGCCCCGCCAGCTCCCGCGGACCCCTCCGCCCGGGTCGCCTCTTCTGATCTGGGGTCTGACTGCCCAGGCGTTTAGGCTTCGCGCCGCCTCTGCGCTCTCTCTCCTCAGCCCGTGCGCATGGTCTGGTTGCTTTACTCGCGCTTTTCTCTCTCTCGCTACTGAGTGATTCCTTTATCTGCCGGTCTCCTGCCCTGTTCTTCTTCTCCTTCTCCGTCCGTCGGCTTTCTTCACGCTCTCCTGACACCCCTCCACTTTCCCTCTCTTCATCAACAGCCTGGGGATCGTAGCTGTCCCCACTCCAGAAAGAGATTTCACCTGAAGGAAAAGTGCAGGCTAGGACGTGTTCGCCGTCTGGACAGATGCTGGCGAAGTTGCAGTTCTCCTTACTCAGGGACAGGGCAGGTGGGTTCCAGGCAAAGAGAGCCGAGCTGGGCAAGACTTTACCCACCGCGGGACGTTGAACCAAGGAGTGGGGTAGTGGGCAGGACAAAAGGCGCTGAACCACCAGTGAGGGGGTGTTGAGAAGTAACCCCTTCTTTGAGAAGTACGCGTGAAACATTTAAATCTGCCTATTTAAAAATCAAAGACAAGAAACAAAATTTTCTCCAAAAACTAGTCATGCCCTCTTGTGTTCAGTTAAAACAACCTGGAAAGGGAAGGAAAGGCAAGAGATTCAGGTAAGGAAAGCGAGGACTCTCTGGAGAGACAGGCAGAAAGGGAAGGAGGCAAAGGAAGCAGGGAGAAAGACCTTCATCAGTTTTAAGGTGTGCAGAAACTTCTCTTGTCCCCTTTCTGGTTGGTATTTCCATTTTCGTGATTCATTTGTTTATAAAGTCTTTCAAAATAACAATAGTAATGGATGCTTGTTGTAATAAGTCAAACAAGACTTCAATGTGTAAAGAAGAGAATAATAATAGCCTTAAGATGGGAGAGGAGGCGACGGAAACGTTCATAGAATTTCTGAGATGGTTAGAACATTGTTCCTTCCTCTTCATTTTCTGCGTCCTTCCCTTGACCAGAGGGTTGATTGGATGCCAGAATCGTGAATTTTACCGTGTTGGGTGTTGGGTATTTTTGTATTCCCATAAATATTCTTGAGGTTTATTCTGGAATGCACTTAAGTTACTTAGAAAGAGTTGGATTATTTCAGGTTTGCTTTTAAGCGTGTTAGGCAGGACCAGAGCAGACCTGAGGATTAAATTTTTCCCCTCTACTGAGGTGATACCCTCCTGAGTCCTCTTCTGGGTACCTTGTAAATTACAAGGCTTACCATCCTGACTGGTGGAGACAAATTGTTCCAGGCCTTATGAGAACTCCAAGGAATGTACCCTCTGCTCCTTTTAGGTGGCTCTTTTCCTGACGTCCAGTACTTTCCTTACAGGCATGTATTGATCAGTACCCCGCTGAAGAGTCAAGGAGATCCTCTGGAGATCCAGATTGATCTGTCTCTCTCTCTCTATCTCCCTCTCTCTCCGGCTCTCTTCTTTCTGGTACTCTGTCCTGCTACCTCTAGCCACCAGGACTTCCCTGGACTTCCAGCTCTCTTCTCAACTCAGGGAGACCACTTGGCTCTACCTGGGTTCCTCCTCCCTAGTCTGGAAACTCTGTCCAGGCAGCAATCTGGGGCAATCATAAGGCTCACCTCATCTGTTTCCCCTCTCTCCAGGATCCCTGTCCTTTACTACCTGATATCCGCGTATGAAACCCATTGTTTCTAGACTTTGTGTGTTTAGTTTTTCCAGGCAAGAGGGTAAATCTAGTCCCTGTTAAGCCATTTTAGCTGGACTTTGCCAGGAAATTGTACTTGATCTAAGCTAAGCTACTTACGTTCCCTTTCCTGGAATCGAGAGTCTGCCATGTGGACAGGAAGCCACAAGAAGCTAGCGTACAGGAAAGAGAAAAATGAAGCAGAGAGGAGCTGCAAAGGAGGGTGGAAAGAGCACTGATAGCTCTGCAATTCTTATTCAAGTCCTTTCCTGAGACCCATGGCACTCCTATCATTGGGTTTTTTGAGCCATCCCTCATTCCTTAGAGTCAAATCTCCTTTGCTGGCTGAAGTGCTTTCAAGTTGGATTCTGCTACTTGCAGCAAAAGGGTGCTAACTCATACAGCACATCGTCAGGCAAAGCTGAGGGGAGAATGCAGTTGAAAGGGAAAAACTGAAGCTCTTTAGTCAATGGAGCATGTTCCCTTGGAAGAGGAAGAAACAGGCAGCACAAGTAGACTTTTCTTCCTGTTGTGCAAGAGGAGAAGAGAATTTGAGATGAGGAGGAGGGTAGTTCTTCTGGACAACGATATTGGTCTTCTCAAAAAATATACAAAAGTCTTGCATGGAGCATGAAACAACAAGGTGGAACTGGAGTGCTTGAAGAGAATGGAAAAGGCTGAGAGTAAGCACTGTGGGGAACGTGCCTGGGTGACAGCAGAGTGGAGCAACAGGATCGGGTGCAGCACTGAGGACCCACTTATTGTTAGAAATCATAGCTTTCTAGGGGAACATTGTTGGTTCATGTGATTTTCTCAAACAATGAATGTTCCATAGTCCAGGAACAGGGGCAGAGAAATAAACAGCAAGATTTGTCAGGATGATTCTCTGGGGCTGTGCTCTGGCCCATTACTGCCTCAGCAATCATGGCAGCACCTTAGCTCTTTCCTACCCTCAAATACACACAAAAACATACACAGAGAAAGGCATGCTCACAGCTGCTGGGCTCTACCAAGCTTGGAGCACCTTGAGACCACTGAAGTTCAAGCAAACAAAGGAGCCTTTTAACACATGAGGCTTAAGGGCAGTGTTAAGACTGACTTTCAGCAATACCAGTTCGGAAGATGCCCATCATTTGCTTGACTTGCCTGCTGTGTGGCCCCGTGTGACCCAGTCCCTAGCTCTCTGCCTCCAGGCAGGAGGAGTTCAGCAGGGAATGGGGAGGGGGCTCGCCCCACAGCAAAAGGTAGACATAAATTATATCTTTTAGGGGGCCAGCCCCATGGCAGAGTGGTTAAGTTCGCGCGCTCCGCTTCAGAGGCCCGGGGTTTCGCCGGTTCGGATCCTGGGCGCGGACATGGCACTGCTCATCAGGCCATGGTGAGGCGGTGTCCCACATGCCACAACTAGAAGGACCCACAACTAAAATATACAACTATATACTCGGGGGATCTGGGGAGTATAAAAAGCAGAAAAAAAAAAGATTGGCAACAGTTGTTAGCTCAGGTGCCAATCTTTAGAAAAAAAATTATATCTTTTATTTTCTTATGTCTCACTGGTTCTCAACAAAAGTAGTACTCCTATTTTGGAAATAAGGGGACATTTTTAGTTGTCGTGATGACTGAGTACCCTATGGCATTGAGGCTTGTGGGCCAGGGATGCTAGACATGCTGACATCCTTTAACACATACAGAAAAATGAAGGACTGTCTGTGCCTTTCAAATGTTCCACAGGACGTTCATGTAAATGAAAAACGTATTTATAATTATCTGCACCTGGCACCTGTTCCTGTGGTAAAAAAACAGGTACAACGGGTCTCTTGAATTTCCCAGGAATGTAACTACCATGTAAATTGAAGGAAGATTGTTCTTTGTTTTGTTTGGAACTTTACCAAGAGTTTTTCACTCTTTCAGAAAATCATGTACCAATGGTAATCTTGCTCGAGGCTATATTTGAGTTGCCAATACTGCACACGGTCTATGCCAGCCTGTGTTTGTACTGTTACTCCATAGTGATTGATAGCTAGTGCATGCACAGTATTGGTGTAAATCTTATGTCTTTTGGTATAGTTGTGCCTGAGCCTTTAGACGTGGAAATACAGATTTTATTGTAAGTTACATTCCATTCATTTCTTCTTTATATTACAGTAAAGGCATTATATATAGTGGATTAGTTTGCTAGGGCCACTATGACACAATACCATAGACTGGGAAACTTAAACAACAGAGATTTATTTTCTCACAGTTGTGGAGGTTAGAAGTCTGAGACCAAGATGTCAGGAGGGTTGGTTTCCTCCGAGTACCGTTCCAGACCTCTCTTCTTAACTTATAGATGGCTGTCTTTACACTGTCTTTCCTCTGAATGTGTCTGTGTCCAAATTTTGTCCTCTTATAAGGGCACCAGTCATATTGGATTAGGTCCCACCCTAATGACCTCATTTAACTTAGTTACGTCTCTAAAGACTCTATCTCCAAATATGATCACATTCTGAGGTACTGGGGATCAGGACTTCATCACATGAATTGGGGGGTAGGAGATAAAATTCATCCCATACAATTAGGTATGTAGACCCATCATATATGAATTTTATTTCAAAATGGTAAAGGGAGAATTATAGAAACATTTCTTATAAAATGAGGGACAGAGTCTGATAGTGTTGAGAGCTGCTGATATAATTTATCAGTAGGACACTGCAAATGTTATGTCTCATAGCTGAGTGCTGCTACTTACTTCTAATCTCCAGTCCAACAGGGTTCACCCAGAATTGGCATGATAGAACAAATGGGGGGAGATTAGGAACAAGAAGTATCTGGCTATTGGGTAAAAGCAAGATAAAGGTTCAAATGAAGCTGACTTGGCTATAGAAATAATGAAGAGGCCAGATGAGTGCTTTGCTCAGAAGCCTTCAAGAGATCCTTATTTCCAAACCTTCTGTAATCAGTGCCATTCTACTTTTCCCACATTGTTGCTCTCTTGATCATCTCTGACCTGCTCCGCTGCTCTGGCAAATCAGTCATCTTCCTTCCCCAGAAACATCTTCACGTTATGTTTTTCTATCCCAGAAATACCATGACTTTCTTCTTTCTCTCCAAATCATTGTCAATTTTCAAAGCCCAGCTACAGAATTTTCTCATCATATAGCTTCCCAAAACTGATAGAACTGAGCACTTACTGGGTAGACCAGAATTTGAATGGACATACATGAAGAGGCCGTGAAGAAACAGGGGTCATGAGAAAGCTGAAATTATGGTTTACAAGCAATAAGGCAGCAGAACATGTGCATAAACACATGGAAAACCAGAAAGAGTAAAATGATTTGTTGGCAGTAAAAGAAAGTGAGAAGCAGAGGGGAGAGTTGCTGAATGAGCATAATGGCGGTGGTGGGGAGGGGGGGTGTTGGTGAGCTCTTGCTGCTGAAAGGGTTAATAACAAACCCTGTCCCTAGAGCTGTGCCGTATCCCTCAGGTACCAGTCTCCATGAGAGCTGGATATTTCTGGATTCCTGTGAGTGCCCCATAGTTGGAATGGAATTCCTCCTTAATATATTGCACCTTATAACCATCATTTACTTTTTGGGAACACATAGCTAAGGTCACATAACCTCATCCTCTACAACTTCCAAACCACCTCATGAGTATAATGGATATTTGTTGCTGCCTACCAGGATCCATTCCTCCCTTACTCCTTTCCAAGGTTATCCATATATTAGTTTCTCCATACAGGCCCTGAGCTTCAGAGGTGTTTGACCCTACCCCAGCACCAGAGACAGCCCCTGATTGGTTAGCTGCAATCATTGGTTCAAGGGCTAAGCATATGACCTAAGCATGTCAAATCAGGTGAGTTTCAAATTCTTGCTTGAAGCTATCTGTCTCCTCCTGGATGTAGAGGAAAGCACAGGCCTGGATCAGCTGACAGTCAGCCATCTTAGAACCACAATGAGAGTCTGCCTTGTGATGAAGAGAACACTGCAGATGGCAGAGCTGAGAGGCAGAAAGAAACTGGGCTCTTTTCTCACATTGAGTCCCTGGGTCAGCCAAACCCATGTGGTTTTGGTTACATGAGACAATTAATTGCCTTTATTGTTTAAACCTCTGAGTTGGGTTTTCTGTTACTTACAACTGGACATATCCTAACAAATGCTGTGCCCCTTTGACATTCCTTCATGGATAAGCTACAGGAAGAAGAGGAACATTATACCATTTGGGGCAATTAGCAAGTACCCTTGCTCTCTGGCTCTCGGGTGGTTTAGAGGGTGGGAGCAGGAAGTACTATGCCAAGGCTAACGATTCCTGTATTATAAGGCCTGGTTTGGGAGCTTTAACTGGGAGTCCAGTAACTTGTTTCACTGAAGCTTCCACTGCAATTGACTACAGTGAACAGCGGTGTCTTTAATAAAACATGCATTAGATTAAAAGCCATGTGACTAATTTTATAGTTGGCACACAGAAGTCAGCAACAGCAGCATTATCAGAGAGCAGGCTGTCGAGCATCGTTACTATGCACAGTGGCAATGGGGAATGCCTGCAAACCCCAGATACACTAGGGGAGAGCAGCAACATAGTTTAGGAATTTATCCAACACTCATTGTCCTTATTCCCATGTGTGGCTTGACAATACCCCCTCATCACCAGAGAAAAGCAGAGTGGCTCATGGCTTTTGGCCCAGTGGACATGGCTGATTTACATCCTTCTCCTTTGGGATAAGCATCACCATGTCGAAATGTTCGAAGAGGGACTGGCCCTGTGGGCAAGTGGTTAAGTTCCTGTGCTCTGCTTCAGCAGCCCACGGTTTCGCTGGTTCAGATCCTGGGCGCAGACCTAGCACGGCTCATCAGGCCGTGCTGTGGCAGCGTCCCACATAGCTCAACTAGAAGGACCTACAGCTAGAATATACAACTCTGTACTGGGGGACTCTGGGGAGAAGAAGAAGAAGAAGAAGAAAAAAGAAAAAGATTGGCAACAGGTGTTAGCTCAGGTGCCAATCTTGAAAAAAAATAAAAAATAATTTTAAAAAAGATGTTTGAGGGGCTGGCCCCGTGGCCGAGTGGTTAAGTTCGTGCACTCCGCTGCAGGCGGCCCAGTGTTTCGTTGGTTCGAATCCTGGGCGCGGACATGGCACTGCTCGTCAGACCACGCTGAGGCAGCGTCCCACATACCACAACTAGAAGAACCCACAACGAAGAATGCACAAACTATGTACCAGGGGGCTTTGGGGAGAAAAAGGAAAAAACAAAATCTTAAAAAAAAAAAAAAAAAAAAAAGATGTTTGAAGAGTTTGTGCCCTCACATGAAAAATATGACAGAACCATTGAAGAGTTGGGGGACCCAGCCAGTGACTGTGAAGACAAACAGCACTTCATCAGGAAGTGGAGGCTGTCACCAATAAATGACACGAGTGTTCCATTGAAAGCACATCCCACCGTGTAACATTCATGACTTGAGCTGAGAGAAGACTCTTTCTCAGCTCTTAGGGGCCTCGATCTTCCTTTGGTCCAGGGGGTGGGGCAGAAATGAGACAAGGCTACTGTATCATAACAGCCCGGTCACTGATTTCTGACCCTCTCCTTTCCCTGGAACTCTCAAGATGCAAGCAGAGGGAAAAGAGTCTCTTCCCGATTTGAGGAAGCAGTGTGATTAGCGTTTCATTTGTCAATATGTTATTTTCTAACTGTAAGGGATTTTCTTTTATTACAGTAACCTGTCTTTAATAATTATAACCTATTTTAAACAGGCACTGTTTAAGCTGCCCTCCTCCTCCAAGAAAAAGAAGAAGGCTCTCATTCATTAAGCATTTACTAGGAATCAGGTATTATCATAAAGAGTGACTCATCATTCCCCCTTCTCCCAGGTTAATGTGGAACTTGTCGTTTGTGTCTTGGGGTCTGGTATAAGGATGGTAGAGGCACTGTCCAGATCAAAGCTGTTAAGTATGGTGAGAATGGGTGTCAAGGGGCAGGTGGGTCCCAGAGAGTGGTAGAAGGGGGTAGCCTAATATATCTAGATCTTTAGCTTTTGTTCACGGAACCAGTAATTCTCAAGGACAAAACTGATAGTCAATCTACCAAGGTTCTGTTTGATACGTATGGCTGGAGAAACCGATCTAAACCAATATTTATTCAAAGATTCTGCCTCTCTCTCTGCTAGATTACATGTCCATCTGGGAATCAAGGACTGGGGATGGGTTCTGCTGGTCTGAAAGTTTGGGTACCTCTTGGAGGAATGCTTTGCCAGGAGAAATGATCATGTTTTCTATACATGGGGACCTGAGACTGCCTTCTGGCCATCTCAGATTCTTCATGCCTCATGGGGAACATT